TCAAGCACCACTGGCTCGAGCAGTTCGAGATGGAGGCTGCAGGGATGACGCCGGGCAGCCTGGCCGTGCGGGGCCGCCAGTACATGGTCGACGAGTGGGACTTGCTTGAGCACATGATGCCGGAGTATTCGATGGAGCACATCAACGGCAACGCCGTCTACAACCTGGAGCCTAACTGGACCAAGTACTTGCGTGAGACTTTCATGTCGGACGCAAATAACGACATGATGGAAAAGATGGCTTTCGATGTGGAATTTGCAATGATTGCCATTGATGCAATGAATGAAAACTACATGTTCTATGCTGGCTCGATGGCCGCCATGGGCGACAACATGACCTACAACTGGCACTCAATGCAGATGGGCAGCTACGCGAACACCCTGCCCAACATCACCTTCGGGTTCCCGACCTACATTCGCCACGGCTCGAGCAAGAATTTGTTTGAGAACTTGGAGGATGACGAAGTCACTTGGGGAGTGGCCTTCTACGACATGCGTGGACACCTGAAGGAAGCTGTGCCCACGACCCACCCCTTCAACAAGATCTGGGACCTCGCCTATTTTGACCAGGCTACCATGACGGAGGAGATTGTGGCTCCCGATGGCCATGTCACTNNGTACCATCTTTGCGAGACGGCAAAGAGTGTGGAAACCAAGCGGTTCGCCCTGACCGGTGACTACCATATCGTCAAAGCCCCCGAAAGTGTCCTGATGGTAGATGACGACGTGCCGGTTGGTCAGTGCATGCGTGGATACTCTAGCCCCAAGGATTTCTACATCAACAAGATTGTGGAGGGCGTGGCAACTTTTGCTGCTATGTCCGACTTCAAGTACTACAAGTATAAGAGCTTCGCTGGCTGCCGCACGCTGAGATGTGGAACGCAAGCATGGCCACATCCTGCTTTTATCCATGACTGTGCACTCACATATTGCCAGTAAGACCTGATCCTATGAGCACCCTTGATGGTTAGTGTTTTTACTTGGAGAGTTGGTTTCATTTCGCGTGGCCCAGTGTGCGTAAACGCTGTCACTGCGCACGCCCTGAGGCCATGTATGAGGGTTCCGGCGGTTAGGATAGCCTCCTTGGAGCCCGA